CATGTTGGCAGGCTGAGATTCTGATTTCTGGAATTACGAAATTTTAGAGTAAAAATGACAATTGAAAATCTTAATATAATGGCCGGCGCAATCTTAGAAGCTCTTGAAGAGCACTTTATAACTTTAAAATACATATAAAATTACTATCTTTGTAAACGGCGGGCTGGCAGGCTGTCAAGGTTGAGCGTTTTTGTAGATTGAATCGCTTATAACTCAACAAACACCAATCAAAACGCAATAGTACGTCATATTAGTCTTCTTCTCGTGGAAGGATGCGCCTGCAACCGTAAAGAATACGAAAGATTCCGTTTGTAAAAAAAGCAAAATATCTCAATTTTTTTAATCAGAATGGATCATATACCGGGTGTTTCAAATTCGACCCTCACCATTGGGATCTTGGAAACGGTAAGAGATACGAAGTCGCTTAAGTGGGTGCGAAGTTCTGTATTCAGGTAACTAACAAAATGCCCATAGAACGTTATAGAATCCAAAGTACTTCCAGAGAGAGACAGAAAAAACGAATTTTCTTAGAATCGTTTTGATTCTCTCCTTGCCTTGTTTGTAGTCGGATTTTAAAATAAATTGCACAATAACATCGCCACTGTTTCTCCTCTACAAGATGGCATAATTAGAAACTCAGTATGATGTTTCGTCCTTAAGCATCAACATTACTTTTTCTTATAGACGCCATATTGCGCAGATAAATAGAGCTTCTAAATCTATTTCAAAAATGTAATATGACACAAATTAATATTTACAAACCTTAGTTATTCCAGAAGAACAAAAGTACCTGGGTAGGCCTTGAAATTATCATAGTCGTTTGTCTCGTATACCAGTCGGGACCTCAAATTGAACATAGCAACAGAGTTTGGAAGACTGAGAAGAAGGGAAGAAAATCGAGCAGTGAGCAATGTACAGAGAAGGGTAAGGCAATAACAGATATTTTGAACATTGGTTAAGATTTACCTCTGCATATTTATGATTATTATGATTATTATTATTATTATTATTATTATTATTATTATTATTATTAGTATTATTATTATAATTATTACCATGAATAAAATTTTTATTTTGTGTTCAGGTCTTACCGTACCTTTTTATTTCCTTGTCATGTTCATCCATCGACAAATTCATGGCGAACTCAGGAAATACATCACTGAATTCATTATTGAAAAGTTCATTCAATTGTACAAAATTGCAATATAACATCCATATGAAAAAACAAAAACAAAATTGGTGATGGAAGTCGAAAGAAGAAACCTCGAATTGAAAATTTGACTACGCCATCTTCTAGAGTAGAATAAGAGTAACAATGAACAACAGTAATTTATTTTGAAATCCCATCTCAAATAAAGTCAGAAAAAATGAAAATCGTCTTGGGATAAATCTGGTATACAAAACAAATGACAATCTGATAATTTCCTACCTAGGAAATTCTGCTTTTTCAAGGTTTGGCAATGACAATGTATGTATGTCTTATTATACATTTTTGGAATCGGAATCTAAAACTCTATTTATCTGTTCCGAAATCCAATATGGCCCCATAATAAGAAATAAAGTTGATGCTGGAAGACAAGAGGCGCAACGCCATATTGAAATTCTAATTAGAGGAGAAAAAATTGCAATGTTAGTGTTCAATTTTTTTGAAATCTCACTACAAATAATGTCATAAAAAGTAAAAATGATTTTGGGAAAACTCGTTTTTTTTCGTCTCTCTCCAGAAATTTCGAAACTTTCTATATTCTGTATATATTAAAGCGACTTCGTTTCTCAGTTTGTGATATCCCAATGGTGAGGGTCGCATTTTAAACACCCGGTATTCCAGATAACACTGATATGAATATCATTCCAATTTATACAACGAACTGTTGCGTTTTGACGATTAATTTTTGGTTTATAAGAAATTCTGTGTACAAAAACGCTCAACTTTGACAGCTTGCCAGTGAGCCATGCTGAAAGATAGTGACTTTATACATATTCTAGGACCTTAAAGTACGTGGTGCTGGAATATGATGAATTTTATGCTAGGTTATCACATGCCCCTCCTACTCTATTTAAAAAAATGACGTCATGTAGAAAAAGACGTAGATTTTGTCATTCCAACCATTAGTACAGTTTTTGGGCTTTCTACGAAAATAATTTCTTCAGATTGGACCAATGAGCATGTCCGTACACGGTAGCCCCATTTCTTTGGACTGTTTGTCAACAATGTTTGATAACTGATCATAATAGCTCTTGATATGTATTCATATATTATATTATACCGTACTATACAGGGTGGCCCATCCATGTGTGGACGGAATATTACTCATAAATAAATACATTTTGGGAGAATCTATTTATGGGATGTTATACATGACATTTGAGGGCACATTTCTAAAATCTTGGCCATTATACAGGGTGTCTCAATTTTGACCTACATATCAAAGTTGTGATTTTTCAAATGGATTGCCTCAAATTTTATTGCATATTGGGATAAATCAACTCAAAAAAAGAAAATTGATAAAACATACTAAGGGGTTTTGGTAATTAGCCAGAGATATAAGGTGTTTTGTCTAGAAAAACCCCCCACTCTGGCAACCCCTTGGTACGCCATTTTGAAATTTGGAGTGTTGACTTTTGTATAAAAAAAATACACACCTCAGCTTTTATCTTATTTGTTACTTTTTCGAATTTTAATTTTTGCTCAGCACTCCAAATTTCAAAATTGCGGATTGAGAGGTTGCCGAAAGGGACGGTTTTTCTGGACAAAACACCTTATATCTCGGTAGCTAATTACCAAAGCCCCATGGTATGTTATCAATCTTCTTCTTTTGAATTGGCTTATCCAAATATGCAATAAAATTTGAGGCATTCTATTTAAAAAATCACAACTTTGCTATGTAGGTCAAAATTGTGACACCCTGTATAAATGCCAATATTTTAGAACTGTGCCCTGAAATGTCATGTATACCATGCCATGAATTGATTTTCCCAAAATGTATTTGTGTATGAGAAATATTCCGTACACACATGGATGGGCCACCATGTATATTATCACCCCACAAAATCAAGTGACTTCATTAAATTAAACTCTAAGCACAATGCTTATATTTATAGATGATGTCCGGCCAACTCGTATATACGTTTGCAACCTGCTTTTACAGGTCCCTCGGATCCACTACTAAATATGCTATATTTACAAACCGTGGAGCACGGCATGTGCGACCGGTAGTTTCGCGATCTGCCTGTTGAAAATATTTTTTTGTTTTACAGGCAAATGTACGGCGAAATCTATGTCCTGTGAAATATGTCTAGTAGATGCGTTGAACTACCGGGATTGTAAGTAAATTAATATACTAACATCAAAATATCGCGATACAAAATTTGTCACAAATGATCAGGATCCTCTGAAACGTCAAAAAACGAAGCTTAGGCGATTTTTCTTTTTTTCGCATTTTTCAATAAGTCCTTGTCATTGTTGTAACCGTGAAATTTCACTAATTCTGAGAGGTACTTTCCTAGTTAAAGATGAACGGATGACCGACAGACAGACCGACAGACCGGCAGATAGACAGACAGACAGTCGGACGGAAATGACTGAGATGGTTTTTCGAAATGTACATGTCATATAACATCAAAAAAAACGTAATATTTCGAAATTTTTCGCGATTACAATATTTCCTCGGTAGAGACGCCGGAAGTAAACATGTTCTAAGACTGCGGCCAGACAGCTTAACCCCTAAGAGACATGGCAGATTGCACAAGCCAATCCTTAGCACAGATGTAACTTGCTCTTGCAAAGACCCGTGAATTGGACAACGGTTTTTATCGTTTTTCTGAAAATATTCCAATAATTTTAACACAAACTGTTAACACAGTTGGTTTGTATCATCAAGCATTGCTATAAGGATTTTTTCGCAAGTCCACGGTGTAGCACAGTGCACTACCGGCACGGGTATCACGTATCTTGAAATTCGACATTATGCATATTTTTTTACATTATTCTCATTTTTTTGACATTATGTAAGTTTTTCGCCAAGACTTTGACTTAGTACTTAGTTGTACGTGTTGCCTAAACGTCATGTAGATTGTTATTAATCTTTGGCTCTGACGTGATGTAAAACCTGCTTCTGAGGTCTACTAGAGGTCTAAGCCGTAAGTTGTATGAGTTGATAATTATACTGGATTCTTGTCTCAAATACACTTAATTGAGATTCAAAGCTAGTTGCGCATCCGCTTTTTCTTATCCATTCTGGAAATTACATATACAAATTTGCTGAATTTCAAAAATGAGAGTGATAAGAAATAATTATATTCAATGTACACTGTCGAATTACAAGTCATATACATGCTAACAGTAATTACATACAACGCGGGCGGGGTGATGATTTCCCGTAATTCTCCTCAGTTTTTCGTAATCTATAACTTTGAACATAAACTCTCTTCAGAAATCACAACATATAAATAACCCGTCATATTCAGCATATTCAGTAATGATTTTCTCACACAGCAAATATCACGGATTTTATACACATGCAGACCAATACAGATATTCAACCAAATTTCTTCTCAGACATAAAAACTACAGACATGGATCACTCAGCCTCACAAAACTATGCAACCAATAATGCGGGTAGTTTAGTTGAGTGATTCCTTCATAGATGGACGTTCACAACGATCCTAGTGAGCAAACGTGGAATGACTGTTTGCGCCATAAAAACTACCTAGTCTACAAGTTGACATCTTATAGGTTTTTTTGACGTTTTGTAGGTTTTCGCACGGGAACGGATACTCAAATTTTCGCAAAGAACGGGAATAGGGGAAGAATGATGTGAGGTCATCCAAATGTCAAAAATTCACGTGGTACGGGTAACCGCCTAACGTCTGTGAGGTACTAGCGGATGACAGATCTTATGTCAATATCATTTAAAAAACAGACGTGTCAATTGAAAATTTGTCTTCGCACTGCCGAAAATTGAGTTAAATTATTAAATCATAAATGGAGGAAAACGTTCACCTGATTTTTAAATGACAAAGAAGAAGGTCATATCAAATGCTTAATTTTATTGATATAAATGTACATTGCACAAAAAACGATCGGTCTTTTTATTTCAGATTCAAACAAGGCAGCTAAGTGTATTAAGGAGCTTAAAGCTAACATTTTGCGCAACATGCACCAACTAACCACTCCCGGTATAACTTGAAACTGTCAAAACTTCGAGAGGAAGGGGAAATTTTATCTGTTCCCGCTCCGGTTCACTACAGGATCTCACAAAAAAATCTCTTATCTCTTATACCGAAGATCAATAAACGGCAAACTCAAATCACACGCCCATGATAAGCAAGTTGTCATACTGATTGTGAATAGCATACATGTGAAAGACTACGTTGAAAGATTTTAAGGTGGTGAGATCAAATTAAAATCATATAAACATGCTGCTTTCGTCCGTCTGATCAAAGACAGCCAACCATACTCGTAGATAGCCGTTCCGTGCTTTTTGGCAACTCAGCAGCATGGTTAGCTCTCGCAGTGTTCGATTCTGGTGATAGATGGCGCTTCGTACTGTCTTATTTCGATAGAAAACTTATGACTTTTTAACAAACATCCGCGGGTGGGGGACGATTGTATACGTACGTATGGGAGAGACGAATGTATGTATTTCTACTGTGACCCGCCAAGAACCATAAAAAATATGTTGTCGATCGTCCAATGTTGAAAATTTTCATTTTCGTCCCGAACAACGTTGACATTCACCTACTTCTCCGCTTATGGCTGCGAAACAAGAATATCAAATTAACTTGCGATCTTGTGACCCCCACTAGCGAACATAATAATATATGCAAAGTAAGAAATGCTAACATCGAATCTCACTTTTCTCGATATCGCCATACACGCTACGTTAAAAAAAGAACAAAAGCTACAACATTCTTAGATAAACAAAAAAATTATCGGCGTCAGTTTCCGGTCATTGGACAAGCTTTCTAAATCTGGACAGAGTCGTTGAAATGCTGCGAGACAAGATGCTTCTGTGTGCGGGAATCGTCGGTATTTTTGTTGTATTTTGTCATGGTGCGCAGCTACAGGGTGCTCCCAGAGGTCAGTTCAACCATACCAGGAAGGGGATATGCATTTTGGAAGTACCGTAAGTAAATATTCTAATTGACATTATTATTTTGTGTCACCGAGTAAGTCATATACTGTTTGTTTACGATACATTGCATTATCGGAAAGTGTATGAATCAGAATGTAATGGAAAGTTCGATTCAGAGGCGTAGCGAAAAATACAGTATTATTATCAGTATATTGGAATGCTGCAAGCAATAGAGAGGTTTTGGTGCAACAAAATCAACGAATGGTAAGCATTCCGTTATCTTATTTTTGACAGCCATATAAAAAAAGGATGTTTAGGAAAACAAGATTTTTTATGACTACTAAAATGAACCGTGGTAATATGACAATACTGTCAATCATGACAGGTTGCATATTTTATTTTCGATTTTCCTATGGAAAAATTATAGGAATAGCGTAAGATGATTGTGGGAGGATAATCATGAAAACAACAAAGACGCCTTAGAAGGTTTCTAAGAACTACCCTGTACCATTTTATTTTTATTACAAGGCCAGTACGTAAAGAATTCGATAAGTCGAACAATTTCAGGAGAATATTACTGCAACTTGCTTGGTGACAGAATGACAACGAATTATCCCCTTTGGTAAGCGATAAGGGCGATATAACCGGTTTGTCGGAGCCAACAACTATTTTTAGGAAAATGATTTGAGTACCTTCCATATTCAACCGACTCATAACAAGCACAACTCTACTACCTTACGATTACGTTAATCATCCGCAGTGGTACCAATTCATCATACAGACTATTTATGATTTATTATATACTTCCAAATGAATATCCAGACATACCTTAGGATTTAAGCTCACAGTAGTCTAAGTGTTCAACATAGGATTTAAGCACACAATGGCGTATGTTGATACCCAGGTGTATGGATAAACGTGCTGAGTTTGACGATTGTTACGAAAAGCAATCCAGAATCCAGGATGTCACGTTGCCGTCACCACCTAAAGGCTCCGACATTACCTCTGATTCAGAGATAACCAAACAACATGACAACTTCAAAGTAACAATCCCTATACACATCCTGCCACATTTCCGTCACCACCTGAACGCTCCGACATTACCTCTGAGTCAGAGATAACCGAGCAACAACTTTAAAGTAGCAATCCCTATACAAAAGGGAGGCTAAGCAGTCACAGAGCCCTGGATGTTACTCTGGCCAAAAGCCGTCGTGTCAACATCCAAAACGCTCCAACACTAACCGAGCAGCAAAGAACATATAACCACCTGAACCCAGCAATCGGGCTCCGAAAGTCCCTTAACAACCCCCCAGAGACATTTTTTTGACAGGGGAAAGCTTTTATAACCACTCTCAGGCAGAAAAACTCGACAGTATTGCCCTGTGTGAGATTCTTTAGAAATTTCATACCCACTAAAACCCTTAGTCGTTTGCCACACATCCCACCAAGGTAATGCTTGCAGCATTTCTTCTTAGTAGATAGCATTGCGCTAGGTTCTCATACCGAAGGTATTGCCCAACTAACAATTATCACTCCTATTAGAGTTGCAATAATGATTATAGAGTATTCCTTACACAGCATTGTATCCTGTAAGAACATTGGCAAAACGCTCTTAGATCTGCTATACAAGCAGAATGGGCACGCCTAATAGGAGACTTAAGTCCTTTAAGAGATTGTATAAAGGCTGCAGATAACATTTATACAACAAAAGTGTAAACCTCTTGCAGCCGCTATAGAACATTTGCGTCAGTGCAAGATTCAGTTTTTGACAACTACACAACTATTCTGTTACATGATTCTACTTTATTGCAACCAAACTATTTCTTATATATTGTATAGGCGAAGTGATGAATATATAACTAACATATTACAGTCATCTTGTTTACTTACATATTGGCCATAGTGAATTTCATACACAGGTATATGATGAACTTCTACACTGATATAGGGCTATTGAATTACTTGCTCAGCAAATTTTATTATGGTTATCGTACAAAGTAGTTACGCAATTTCTACGGACTTCGTATTTGATTCACATTTTAATAATGATCAAAAGTATGTCTAGATTTTTAAGATGAAAAACTCAACTTATCTGCGTTAAATCTTCCACAAATCCTATATTTAGACACAATTAAACTAATGTTTATCACTTTATATCCGTAATGTCGAACTGACACATAATTATTTAATTTTCAATAGCGGAATATATTTTTACCCAATATGGCAGGTGGTTATGTATAATCACAGCATCCTCCATGTTGCCTTTGGTTTATTAGAATATTTTGGTGTTGTTTGCAGGTGTTATACAACAGTTTGACAAATCTCTGAAATGAAATACGGACAGAGTCGAATGATCTACCCAGAATTTGTACCCAATCTACATATTCTGTTTGAACATTTGACAAAGCCTTTTAAACCAATATGCATGCATTGTTTGTCTTAAAATATTGGTTATGGCATTTTAACTAAAAAGATGACAGCAGAAAGTTAGGTTATGGTGGAGTTGTATACCAACATATTTAGCAACAAATGTATGCCGAGCACAGCAATTTTGTACTATAAAAGTTGTAATATTGTTGCAAGCGTACATCCTTTAACAGTTACTAAACGACAGTTGCATAAGTGCTTCCGTTGAGAGTAATTTGTCGGCTAAAGCAGTAAATTTGAAATCCAAATAATAAGACTCGGGTTTGTGGTATAATCGATACCATGGATGCCACAACACAACTATTTTGACTACCGCGCAGATATGCCGTATAAAATAGTTGTATAAACGTATATGCAACAGTTCAAAATTTGTCCTATAAGGTGTTGTATAACTATGCTGTAAGAATATTTTGAGCATTTTGAGCGTTTATGCGTGGAAAAAGTGTTAGCGGTAAGCCTCTTGCCGAGCGTCAGTTTGAGCTGCATCTGGTAGTCAATCCACCTACCACATTGGAGTAGGTGACTAGCAAAATACACAGTTCGCATACTCTCTCTTTCCTACCCTCTTCAGGTAGCTGTCGAAACAACCAGGTCATGTAAGGAACTGTTTTAATATCTGAGATCAGCCTTCTGGTCCATGCACCATGGCCAGTTGCATCCCATCTCTCCTGCCATCTTACAAAAGGCGTCTCTCTCAGCAAATCAATTGTCGGGATACCAGCCACCACCAGCAGTGCATCGATCGACACCGTTCTGTTAGCGCATACCATGCGCAGCACAACTTTTCGCTGGCTTTTCAATATTAGCTGCCTATATTTCTTTTTCCTCAAGGCCCTGTTATACAGGGTGGCGCATAGAAAACGAAACAGTCGCATTTACTGGCAGCTCAGTTCTTTTTTTGAAAAACGCTCAGACCCTCGATTTTGTTTTCGAGGGGGACACAAGTTTGGCAAAAAATCTCGTTAGCACGTGCAGCCCCCTAAGCGGGGGTGACACCACCCCCAAAATCTTAAATGGAAGGGGGGGGTCGAGTGATACCTTATTTTGTTAAGGTCTTTCAATTCCCTTTATATCGATATAAAATTAATGTACTTCAGTTCGGTAGTTTTGAAGATTGATTGATTTAAAGCGTAAATAAAACTAATACATCTTCATTAGTGGAGATCAATACATTTGGCAGCAAAGTAATTTAAAAATGAAGAATGATCCGACCCGTTAGGCAAGTAAATGTTGAAAATGGCCACCATACCATGACTTTCCATGCGATACTAAAGATTTTGCTCAAAACGTTGCCGCACATTTTGCAATATTTGAGGAGTAATTTGTAGGCACTCCATAGATTTTGCTTTTTAAATCACCCCACATAAAGAAATCCAAAGGTGATAAATCTGGCGATATTGGAGGCCATTCAATGGCACCTCTTCTACCAATCCATTGATCTGGAAACGTCTGATCTAAATATTGTCGAACACGTAGTGCGTAATGTCGTGGGCCACCATTCTGTTGGAACATCAACCTATTCGCAATGCAGGATCTATGGCGTCTTCCAGTAATTCCAAATACATTTCACCGGTCAAATTTCCAGGTAAAAAAAAAACCAACTAAATGATCGCCAAAAATACCAGCCCAAATATTTAATTTTTGTGGTTGCTGTGTATGAACCTGATGATAAATTCTGGGATTAGAATCGGACCAATATCGGCAGTCATGACGATGTACTACGCCATTTAAGAAAAAGGAACATTCATCGGAAAAGCAAGTGTTGAATAAAAAATGTTCATCGTTTATAATTCGTTCACTCATATCTTCACAAAATTGTAATCGCCGATCAAAATCGTCTTCATTAAGTTCTTGTACCAGGTGAATTTTATACGTATGAAAACTATGGGCCTTTAGAATCCGTCGGACAGTACGTCGACTAACATCACACACAGTCTCCAATTTGCGGGTACTTAACGTAGGATCTACATAAACTTGCCCTAAAACCCCCACTTCTATTGCTTCGTTCCTTAAATGATTTTCAAAGTTGCGTTTTTTATTGGCGACTGACCCAGTTTCCCGAAATTTAGCTACAGGTTCTAGAACATATTTTCGATGCACTTTACTGTTCTCATGTCGCTCATTAAATATTTCTGCTGTTCTATTAGCGCACTGATTATTTCCGAAAAATATTTCGATAATTTCAACTCTTTCTGCTGTGCTGCGAGTAAATGTTGTTCGTGCAAGCTTACCCTGGGAACAAGTGCCAGGAGGAGGAATGGAATGTCTAACATAAACAGGCCCAAGGGTGGCCATGCTGGTTGAACTCGCATACAAAATATGTTTGAAATATCTCGTAGACTTACACTTGTGTCCAAACCGAAAAAAAAATGAATAGGTTTAGAATCACAGAACCACAGAACATATGACCAGAAAACTAGTAGAACTACAATTAAAGGCTACCTTTCCACTTTGCATATATAACAAAAATAAGGACAATTCAATTAATTTAGAACACTACCTATTTCTTACATTTCTTCTTATCTGCGATCTAAAACTCGTATTTCTATTGTATATTGACAAATACTTTTTCAACTTATTATTATTTTAGTTAAGCTTACCCAGCTTTACGAATTCTGGTAACAGCGCTGAATGAGGAAAAAATAACCTTACGAAATGAGCGATTTATTATCAGTATATTTCGATAACGGAGGACTGTGTCGCTACTGCGGAAAGTAAAGCAAGGATGATCATACGTGAACAGCAAAACAAGAATACTAAAAACTCTCTATTGTTATCTTGAGATATGCAGCATTAGTCTTACATGTGTAGGTACACCATATTTTCAGAGTCACACACTTCGAACAGGAAAATTCAATAGAAGCCTCTGATCAGCTTTCTTACCTGAAAAACTCTTTAAAAGTTAAGTAGTTAAATAAAAAAAACGACCAAAACATCTGATTTAAAACAGTTTATAAACTAGTAAAACCCAGTATTAGCTTTTATTGGGCTTTCTTAGCTAAGAATGGTTACAGAAGCTCAATTATGATCAAAGAAATTATCGTTTCGGGCAAAGAAAGAAGTGGACTTGAGAGGTTCTTGTAGAAAAATAGAATGAAGCAGGAACATTCATAAAAAGCTTTCGTTAAGTTTCTTCCCAAGAAAATGTGTAAATGCATGGTCATGTCTAAAAAACTATCATCAAGGAGGGGAATCAATGCACCATGCATGAAGGAGAAAACAAAGCAATCAAATGCAGACGATTCTTTGCCTAAGAAAAGCCCTTATAACGCACTCATATTTATCCATTGACCATAGAATATAATGTTTTTCCGATTTCCATATTATTGTCTGTTTTATATTTCTTATAACCTGCATGTTAAAATAATCAGTGTTAACCTTGTGCAATTTATCTAAATTCTAGTAACGTGCATATAGCAGTCTGTGATGTCATGTACAGCCACTTAACAATGATATAATTCCTTGAAATGTAACATTATTCAACTTGTTTTATCTTATGCAGGCAGTAGATAAGTGTGAGCTTACACTGAGTGTGAGAGAGAGAGAGAGAGTCGGTTGTAGGTATTGAGTAATATTCACGCAGCGGATTCAGTAATTCAAAACCTAAACGGTATTGAGTAGGTATCACCTCCTAAAGATGGTAGAATATTGGGTAAAAATGTTTTTTCAATGTGATCAGTGTTTATTATAATAAAAAACTCTTATAAACATCAATAAATACGGGGATTTATGAATATGTAAATAGCTTTAGTTTGAATCATGATTAGGCAGTGATTTCTATGTAGTTTCAACATATACAATCGTATTTACAGAACTATTGACCTTCTGAGTCCAGAGGATAGACATGGCGCCAATCTAAGAGGAAATTCGGTGAGTCAACTGTTAACTAAAGTTTGAGATATATATAGGGTGTATCAATATTCCGTTGACATAGACATACCACTTATTTTTAGACCCAAAATAAGTCGATTGGACGTGATTCACCTCTATGAAAAAGTTTTGTTTCGTTTCTCCGTTAGAGGGCGTCAACGTTTTCTTTTTAAAACACGTTTTTTAAGATATTTTAATAACCAATAGTCCGATTTGAATGAAATTTGGTACACATATTTATCTTTTGCTTGACTTATACGAAAACTCTAAAGTGTTCGGAATGCAGGAAAACTACAGCCACTCTTTCATACATTATAGCAAAATTGCTTGGCAACTTTCTCGACAACTCTGAATTTAGCAGATATTTTTGTTTACTTCATTTTCTTTCTCTTATAAAAACAGGCCATCTCGGTTAGTTTTCGGAAAAAAAATAACTTGCATCAAGAGGTTCCCAAGAAAGTTATATACATATTACTTGAAATTTTATTTAATACATGCAGTAGTGAGAGTCTTTCATAAAATTTATTTAATATGATCACACTTTTCGTTCCCGCACATTTTGAATCCAGTTCAATAGTTGCTGGGCGTTGTCTACATGAATCTCATATACTTTTGCTTTTAATGCTCCCCATATAAAAAAGAGCAAAGATTAAGAGGCAGTTCTTCTTATAATAAAGGTGAAACGTATTGTAGAAAATGAACAAAGCTATATCCGTTTAATTTATCAGGCAACCTATATGTCTTTCTAGAACTGCATACGGATTTTCTTTAGCATAAATATGCAAATATTTCATACCACGTCGGGTGAAATATGAATCATCTGTAAGCAAAGATTTCTTGTGAAATGACCTATGAGCTCCTCTGCGATCTGATGCATTTTGTACAAAACTCAAACGTGAGTGACGGTCAGCAGGCAATAATTCCAGGACAGACTGAACGAATGAGTTGCTTATTTCAAATTCGGTGCTTTTTTGAACTTCTTGTTCATGTTCTAATCTGCAAGTGCTCAGACCTGGATCTTCTTCGACCGCTTCAATAACAGCTTCTTCAACCAGCGGTGTTCGAGTTTGCCGCGGTTTCCCAGCGTTGATTCTTAAAGGTTGGAATCCACAAATTTTTGGAAGTCGGCGTTCTATGCATCCAAATGTCTGACTATTTGGAAGTAGTTGAAGCGGATATCTTTTTTGATACACGCGAAGACTTTAAAGAAACCAAGCTCTAACAATATATCAGTCTGTTCGACAAAAGAATACTCCATATTCACGAGAAAAACAATCAACAAGTTGACCAAACAGAATCTGGAACGTTAATTAATTTAAAATTTCTGGAGAACAAACTCAAACATTACTTATTAATTTAAACTTTATGAAGCTTGTTAACAAAAATAATCATACCTTATTTCCGCCAACTAGATGCCTACTAGACTTCAACACTTGGTGTAAAAAGAAATTTTTTCAGAAACCAGCTCTGAAAAACATTTTTTTTTAAAACTATACAAGTTGGTCTGTTTTTATAACAGACAAAAAATGAATCTAACACTAGGATATTTTAAATAAAAACAATCAGTCTGTTGGGAGAGTTGCGAACAAATTCTGCTATAATTTATGTAGGAGTGGGAGTAGTTTTCACCCTTCTCAAACTTTTTCGGGTTTTTTTTAGAAGTAAAATATTAGGAAGTCTAGCAAAACACACGTGCTCATTCAAATAGACTATCGGTTCCAAAAATATCTGTAAAAATGAATCTTTAAAAGAAAACTTTAACGCCTTTAATAGAAAAATGAATCACGTTTGTATACAAGTAAATCATGTCAAATCGACTTATTTTGAGTCTAAAAATACGTGGTTCTTCTATGTCCACGAAATAGTGGGGCGTCTGTATATAAGTAGGTTAGACCGAGGCAAATTGGATCAAAATAAGAAATCCGTTAATATTTTGAACAACGCATTGACACGGTTAATTTGATCCGATTCACTCATCGATTCGATTTACCTCAGTCTACCCTAATTGATTTCCGCTTCATCAGACACTTATTTGAGCATATATACTAAGTGACCGAACACCCAGTTTAAATGGTTTTATTTTAATAAAATTTTGTATAAGTACTTAATGAAGCATAATAAGTAAATGATAAAAATTTCAAAATGATTGCACTGCTTTAAAGCCCTTTGACCTTTAATAATGTGTGGATGCACCCTGATGTGCTACGCATTCTCCAACGCGCCTAGGCATGCTTCTGATCAGGTGGTCAATGTCCTCCTGTGGTATCTCATTCCAGGCAACCACCAACTCCTCTCGAAGTGCTTCTAGAGTCTGAGGAGGACGTTGCAAATTGAGCAATCTCCTACCCATCATATCCCACACGTGCTCAATTGGGGATAAGTCGGGAGATCTTGGTAGCCATGGTAACAATGTGACATCATTATGTTGAAAGAAGTCTATTGTGACTCTTGCAACATGTGGTCGGGCATTATCTTGTTGGAAAGTTGGATCTTCCAGGGTGTCAAGATAGGGTAAAAGATGGGGTTCTAGAACTTCGTGGATATAACGCTGCGCGTTTATGTTACCTCTGATGAAGATTAAAGGTGACCTGGAACCATAAGCTATAGCACCCCAAACCATAACTCCAACAGTGTGATGAACATGTCTTTCAACAAAAAACTGTGGATTCCTCCATTCACCACGTCGCCTTCTAACCCTGGCACGACCATAGTGTAATGCCTAAACAAAATCGAGACTCGTCACTAAAGACAATACTGTTCCATTCCTGATCCCAGAGTGACCGTTGTCTGCACCACTCAAGGCGATTACGTCGGTGTTCTCGAGTTAAAGGGAGGACCCAGTGTAGCCGGTATGAAAACAAGCCAAAACTTCTTATTCGTCGGTAAACACTTCGCATGCCAATAGGTCTTCCGTGTTCTGCAAACCATTCATTTGCAATGGACCTGGTAGTGGAGAAACGGTCCCTTAAGGCCAATAATCTTAGGCGGCGATCTTCACGGTCTGTTGTTCTACGGCGGCGTCCAGTGCCCCTTGCTCTTTGCGTACGGCGTTCTCGAAGCCATGCCTGACAACACCTAACCACAGTGTCTACACTTCTTTGCACTCTAACTGCAATTGCCCGAAAAGAAAGTCCAGCTTCCCGAAGTCCCACTATACGGCCCCTATTAAACTCACTAAGTTGACGAAATCGTACAGGTCTCCGTACTCTAGGCATCGTAACCGATCGTAAAGGATGTTAAGAACCAAAATCCGCCAACGTTGATTCTTTACTGCGGCTGAAATATTCATTTTAGAGCGTTAGTGAATTAAAAAAAAAGCAGTATAAAAACCGGAATGTCCAACTGATAAGGCTGAAAATTTTTTCATTTGTTATTTACAGTAAGATAAATACATTCACCAACTTTTATTAAAATAAAACCATTTAAACTGTGTGTTTGGATTTATATGTCACTTAGTATATTCCAAAACCTCCTTGGAAAATCATAACTACAGACTCGAAAATGTAGTTTTATAATTTAGATAGCAAAATTCAACAAGAATTGTCTGCTCGCGAAGATGTCTGCGTTTTTGTAAGATAGTGCTATGTTAAGATGTATGTATAAAATTCTAGTCGAGAGACGGATACAGCAAAATTGAAGTATGCTGCTCTGGTTATGCCAGGAAACCGCACAGCCATTATGAATGCCATCCAGTATGTGATGGGTGTGAACACGGTAAGTAAAGCCTTCTATCTAATTTAGGATCGTTGAAAACAAAACTACAAAGAATATACATACAGTCCTAACTGAAAGTCGATTTTTAAGAAGGTGATTTTTGGGTCTAGTTTAAGAAGAAAAGTTCATATAATCGTATATCCTAAACGTATCAACTTTTGAGATACAGTGAGGTAAAGTTCCAAATATAGAAAGTCAGTGGCAGTACCACAAAAAAATAATTCTGTATTCATTTATGAGCAGATTTGATCTCCTGAATGTTTTTTGCCCGACTCAGGGTTTACACATAAAAATAAAAGCTATTTCTCTGCTTGGTGATATTGTCATATTTTTGAACAATACCGTGCATCGGACTGAAAAAATCAAGGGAATCAAGTTTTATTTTTAAAACACATCTTTTAAAATATTTTAAGAACCGATAGCCCGATTTGAATGAAATTATATATAATAATAATAATAATAATAATAATAATAATAATAATAATAATAATAATAATAATAATAATGATAATAGTAATAATAATAATAATTTTTATTGGAATGTATATACATAAAAATATAAAAACGACAACAAAGAGGATTGGCAGGGCCATTTTTCACCTCCCCCTAAAAAGTTAACTTCATGAGCGTTTTTTAACATCAACAAGGTGATTAGTATTCACAACAAATATTATGCACAACACAGTATATAATACGATATAGTCTGAGTGTTAATGGAGGGTAGTGTAGCAAGCGCCATAAATTTAATTTGTGGATTCAAATCTTTGCAGCTGTAGTAGCACTTTTTCCATCTCACTTCTGAAGTTTTGGATGGAAGGTGCTTCAAAAAGTTCCAAATGATCGTTCAGTAGATATGGTGCCGTGTAAGTAAAACATTTTTTGAATTTAGATGTTGTATGAACTGGAATATTGAAATAGGCATTGTTGCGTAAGGAAACTTGGCGGAGTGAACATCTCTTCTCTAAAGCAATAAACAGATATCTGGGTAATTTATATTTTAAAACTTTATATGGTAGTGAAGTAATACACAATACTTTAATTTTAAAAGATTTTCTCTCACATAATATTCAGTAATATGTTCTTGTATATGTATATCTTTGAAACAGAATCTCATGCAGCAGTTTTGTAATACTTGAATTTTGTGCTTCATTTCTTCCGTAAGAAAATTATAATATACTGTATGTTTATGTTTATGTTTAGCGTTATAATATTTGACGATTGCAAATAAAATCTAAAGGGTTCGAAATAGGTGAAAACTAGCCCCACCTCTACATACATTATAGCAAAATTTCTTGACAAGTTGCCCGACAGATTTTTTTTATTTATCAGTTCTTTTAAAAGTTGTTCAATATGACCACCATTTTCGTTCCTGCACATAACAATACCCGTTCTCAAAAACATTATTTTTCTCGAAAACTATGAGAGATGGCCTGTTCTTATAAGAGACACAAAATGAGGTAAATAAAAGGATCTTTAAACAAGTTCATAGTCGTTTGGACAGTTGAGAAAAAGTTCTGCTATAATTTATGTAGGGGGGGAGGTAGTGTTAACTTTTCTCCAACCCTTTCGGGTTTCTTGCAGAAGTCAAGTATTAGGGCGCCTAGCAGAACACATGTGTTTCAAATTTCATCCAAATCGGACTTTTGGTTCCAAAAATCATGCCCAATTAACTTATTTGGTGTCTAAAAATATGTGCAACTTCTAAGTTTACTGAATATTGGTACACCCTGTATATGAGAATAAGACCATTGTCTAGAGAGCAAACGGATAGAAAAAAGTATAAAAACATGTTATACATATTTCATGTTGGCCTATACAACAAATGACTAAAATCGTAGCCGAGCCCTGTCTTAGATCAACTTCATGTCATGAAATTGGTGATTCATGAATACCTGTGCTATTATTTACATTAAAATAGTTGTACCTATTTTGTACGTATACATTCCGAGAAACAAGGGTTTGGTGACAACAGAATCGCAGAAATATATCGCACTTTCCTAAAATAAATTCATTTTTGAAAATACTGTGCCTTGATGTTTTATTGAAAAATAAGTTATACTACAATGATGATTTGAAAATGGTTTGTTTCATAAAGATATAATTCGGGTATTTTTTGTTCTGACGGACTCCTTACCTACTTTAAAGTTCTTTTTCTGGACAGATATAGAGCAAAATGCATGAAAATTCTGTATTTTCATTCAGACTGTGTCAGATGATGCGTTCTCTATTTCGACAAAATTATGAATGTTCCTAAAAAATTAAAAAGTTTAAAAGCCACACTGATGATTTTATTTGGTCAAGAATACCCCTGACGTTTTTCAGTTATGTACACTCTGCTATCGAAAAGCAGGAGAGCAACAAAACATCACACACCACTGCTGGTGCAAAGTGCCTTTGAAATGTCAAAAGCGATGCGATGCTGGCAGTGATGTGCTACTCTCTTCCTTTTCAGTACCCGAGTATAATAAGGATGCCGCTATGGGCAGAAGCAAACAGGGGTAAATCACTTGGTAATATAATACAGTACACAGTAATGGAATATAGATTGACAGTTGAAATTTTACCCGCCCTTTATTCTTAGATCGCCTAAATTATTACAGGTCATGTAATGCCACTTGAAGGCAGTCGCCTAATTTCTAACCACCTTTTCTGCGACCATCGTTTTTATCATAAGAAATTCTACGAATACGAGGTCCCTCGTTTGTCGTGAAAAATGTATATTCTGCCAATTTTGAGCACTTTCTAATAACCAAATAAAGTAAACAAATAGCGAACCATGAGAATGACAAGTGATCACACTCTTATGCCCAAGATGTTGAACACGGGAAGAATAGTGCACTTTCAACGTTCCAGAATTAACCGAACGCTGAAATTGTTACAGAGTCGTGTATAATGCACTCCACAGGGAAAAACATATTTGACTGACGCTTTGAGTTCAATGTGTACGAGAGAGAAGCGCGAAAAGTGTGTATCAACACATGTTAGAAATATATAGAGGTCTATCAACTGTGATGCAGAAGGTCATGCATTCAGCCTCGTTGCCAATATGTTACACCAGAAAATGTTCGCACAGGCTGCCACAATAGGTTAGGTTACTGCCAAACCCGGGAAGGAGGTCTCTTCGAACATTTAATTTAACATTTTGTTTTCATTTTAATTAGAATTATTTATTTCAATTTTGATCCAACTTAGTGTTTTAATTTATATTATAATTACCCTCTTTCCACCGATGGTGGTAAAATGTAACAAATAACATTGTGAAAATCAAATTAACATTGCCTGCGTGTAAGCAGGTAAAATCCATTTCAAAGCAGGACGACACTCCCGTACGAACGCTAGATGGGAACTGACCAAAATCGCTCAACTATGATTATAGAGGTGGAAACGTTGCCTTGGAATGTATAAGATGCGGTGTTATTAAACGAACCAATGAAACAGATTCGACACAATTCAAAATCAAAAATGTGTACGCTCAAAATAAAACCATTATTTGGGCGTAAAGAATAATCTAACGCATATTTTAAATAATATAATAATAATAATAATAATAATAATAATGTTTATTGTCACAAAATACAGGTAAATATCAAATATTGTGCACAATAAACATAAAGCACCCAAAAAAAGTTTGCACTTGTGTTTGGGTTTGTACAAAATAAAAACTAATAGTACAGTCAGTGTATGAAAAAAAAACCGTTAATACTGTATAATTTGGTGAATTATTATGGTAATGTCAGGAAAAATATCCAGACAATTAGAACTAAACTAAAAGTATGGATGTTAGTGTAAGTAAAATATTATTGATTTTGATAATGATTTTTCAGATCTACAATTTCGTGGATGGAGTACCTTGGTTGTTGTAAAATCCATTTTTTTAGTTCTTTTTTAAATGATTTATTTGATTTAATTACTTTTAATGACTCTGGTATGAAGTTATAGAATTTTGGTCCCAAGAAAAACAGAGATCGTTGTGTAATGGTTTTTGATGTTTGTGGAATACACATTGAATTTTGATTGAATCTTGTTGGGTAGTTATGAATGGTACGATTAAAGTATTTTGACTATTTGAAATAATGTATTAGACCACAATAAAAATAAATTTGTCTGCAATCTAATAGCTGAGCCTCCACATAAGAAAATCACTTGAATAAGTAATCTAGCTATGGAGGATCAATTTTAGAATTAATTTTTGGATTACATCAACCTTTTTGTAATCATTATTCATAGCCAAAATTCCGTAAAGTAATAGAGAATAAACAAGAGCCTAATATAGATTATATAGATATTTCTTATCTAGAATATCTTTGAAGTACCTGAATTTTGAAATAATACATCTCAGTCTCTTCACAAGGTACTCTGTATGGGTATCCCATTTTAAGTGTTTGTCCAAAATCACGCCTAAGTATTTTATTTTATCGGCTGACTGAATCTCTTTGAGACCACTGCTTGTATGAACTTCAAGTTTTTTAAATTGTGGTGAGAGCCTGTCGTTACAAGAAAATGCTATATAGTATGTTTTGTTGTAATTAATTGTCAAAGTTCTTTCCGAAAAGAAATTTATAAATGTTTTGAAATCATGTTCGATTGTGGTTTTTAGTGTATGCCACTGGTTGCTTTCATAGAGAATAGCTGTATCATCCGCAAAACCGATAACTTTACCTGTACTACTTATTTTGAACAAATCGTTGATAAATAGATTAAATAAAATGGGTCCTAATACTGAGCCTTGAGGTACACCGTATGATATAATATGGGGTTCACTGAATGTGTTATTAATTTTGACGCACTGTGTTCGATTTGACAAATAATTTTCTATAAGTTTGTATGTTATTCCTCGGAAACATAAGTTTTCTAAAGTTGTTAAAAGCGATTCATGAGTAATCGAGTCGAATGCCTTTGCCAAGTCAACAAAAACACAAGCAGTTGGTTTGCCGATATCAAGATTCGTGTACATTTTACTTGTTAATTTTACAGTAGCATCTTGAGCAGATTTGCCTTCTTGAAAATCATATTGCTGTTCCGCTATTAAGTTATATTTTTTGTAAATTCGGTGAATCGTTTTTTTAACACTTTTTCAAATATTTTAGAAAAATTTGTTGAGGTGGAAATTGGTCGATAGTTGATGGGTTTTTCTCTTTCTCCAGATTTAAATAATGGTTTTACCATAGCAATATGCATCTTAATTCAAGGAACTGGTGTAACATATTGGCAACGCGGCAGATTTCCGCATCAGCGTTGCTAGGCAACGTGGTGTTGAGCTTTGCTATACAGTCGACTTCCATCTCTTTCTTCTAAAAACACTTCTCTCTCGTACACTGAACTCAAGCCGTCAGACAGATTTGGTTCTTAGTGTATAGCAATTTACGAACGCAACTCAGATCTATTGACATGTTTGTCTCGGGAGCGCTTCTAGCTCCCAAGTTTCTCCTTGATCAGTCTAATAAAGTATATTTTGTATGAGTGCCGGAGTTTTGCATGAAAATCGATCAGTTGGATTTTTCGTGTAAGATTGTCTACCATTCCGGTGGAATATTTAGTAACTTACAAGTTACCAATATATGCAGGTGTACCTAGGGCGGTCCGGTAGTTGGTGTGGTTATACAGGGTGGCCGATATGTAACTGACTGGTTTATATCTTCAATATTTGTGAAATAAAATACGTCATTTTTTTCACCTTAATCTTTTATTGAAACTTAGAAATTATGTATAAAAAATAATATCAGACTAATGTCCGCCTCTAGAAGCCTAGAGCCCTCCTGATTACATGTTCCACCGCTTTTTGGCAGGTTTCGGGAGGAATATTTTCAATCACTTCCGTAATATTGTTCTTCAGCTGCTCTACAGTATTTGGTTTGTTGGCATAAACCCTATTTTTCAAAAATCCCAATAAAAAAGTCAGGAGCCGTTAAATTCGGTATTAAGCTGCAATATGGCATGCCTGTATTGTCGGTGACTTTCATCGTCACTAGGCTGTAGTAGTTCTTGGGTTAGCTATGGCCGCAAATGCAAGTCTTTTTTTTAAAATAGTGCATAAGAACGTGAGACGAATACCCAGTACTTGGGAACGATGTCTGATGGTACACTTTTACGAATGGTGTTGATTTGGGGCACATTATTTCCATCGAAATCTTGTCGTAGCTCCCGAATCGTTGCAACAATCGACTCATTATTTAAGTAAGACGTTTTAACACGTTGTAGGATCGTGTAGCGCTCTATGATGAATTAGACACATGTTACTACGGCGTCACATACTGAAATGGGTGTATCAAAAATGGCGCGCAATTTAAATCAGTCAGTTATATATTGGTATTTAGATATTCTTTTGTTTGTGTTGTGAAGTTGGATGGTCGGCTATTGAAACTAGTTTTGGATGTTAAAATCTTGCGTTCTGAAGGGATAAAAACCGAAACCAATATGATAGATTAGTAATGTGTCAGGGAATATTTCATTCGCTTAAGTTGGCTAGCCTTGTACGCTTAGATCGAGAAAATATAGCCGTCTACCAATATTAGTGATCGGATGCAATTTGGGCTTCAAGGGGTTACAGGGGATAGAGGGAAGCGGACTCTAGCGAGGGAACACGTGTGCATGTGACATGCACACATTCTGGCACCGCCTGCTCTGTGGTGCTTCCTGGATCAAAACAATGTCGGTAACTCAAGAACCTTTTCCTCCAGGCAATTGCACAGCTCCGGGGGTATGCGCATGCAAACGCGGCTACATCCTGATCCGCGACACCCAGCACAACACCATCAACGACTGCGTTCCTACATGTCCTTTGGGCTGTTTGAACGGAATCTGCACCAACACCGGGGCTTGTTCCTGCAATGCCGGTACCGTCCCTTCCAAGGACGGAAAGTACTGCCTGCCACATTGCACTGGAGGATGTGGACAGGGCGGACATTGCACTGGGCCGGAACACTGTACCTGTGATGACGGGTAAGTAATAGCATTGATTAACATATTCTACCTGAAGATAGATAACCTAACGCTATATTCCCACGTCCAAAAGATTAATGGAGATAAAATGAGTTACCGTAGCGTCATCTATGAGAATTTGCCGCAGCTATTTTTCTATTTACTACATGCACCGACAACATTTTTTGATTAGATGATCGGAGGTCATTAACTTCAAATCAACGTCCACAAGAGGTATTCCTAAGCCAACTTGTTTTTTGCTTTGTAATTTTTACCTTGATTATTAAGTGGAGGTAGTCACTTGGAAAATAGTTCATAACTGATTTAAATTAAATAAAAGCCTGAAGAACTAAAAAAAAGATTGACTATTTCTTCTTATTTTGACCACATAAACAAGCTATTTCTATAATGTGTAGAATATCGCTGGAAAGAGAATAAGCCGCAGAACTTTCATAAATGAATCTAAGTTTAAAAAAATCTATAGTTTTTTTGTATTCGAATTTTGAATTCCAAATATTTTATTCTCTTTGCACAATTTTACAAATTTGCAAGCTCATAAATGATTTTATGAGGCCGTTTATACGAATTACTTATTTGATCTGATCAAGCATGGATTACTGAACTCAGAGCAACATAATTTTGTGGAGGGCCATATTTAGTATTTTCGTAACCATAGCGGCCAAAAGAAAAGTAAAGTGACACATCCTAATATGGTTCATTTATTTAAAAAAGCCTCATTATTTCACTCACGAGTATAATATTTAGCTGGTTGTAATCTTAAAATCTAATTAATGAAATGTCTGACATTTTTTCTATTGGCACAGTGTTAGCTGGTATTTTAAAAGTGCCTATGCGCAAAATACCTGTAAGATGGCTGTCTAATAGAGATGATCTCGTTTTTGATTTGTTATATTTCACGCGGGAAAACAGCTGCTCGCAAATATATATACTACCGAATAAATAAATGTTTTGAAGAGCTAATTTATTAAGATTTGGGTATTGGTTGGGTGTAAAATACTTTTTAAAAATCCAATTAATTTATTTGGAAGACAACCATTGCATGTTGTTTTCAGATGAGAACGACTTTGCAATAATTCAATTAACTGTAGGTTCGGTTCTGCGTTTTCAATTTCAACATCAAATGGATTTTGGAACACTTTTATGCTGGGAACTTGCGATTTGAAGTCTACGAATCTCTAATCAAACTCATTCCTCAACCTTTCCAACAACAACACGTCCTTTACAAAGTCCAATGACTCTTGATTTCTTGCAGATAAGCTGTCCCAATGTACCAACTGATTTTCTAACAATAAGAGCTTCTTCGTGAATGCTTTAACATGTTCATATAACTGCGTGTATAGTTGATCTTTCCCTTGCAGTTTTAAGTGAATATCAGAAAGACGTTTAGTTCTAATATCAACCAGGAAACCCAGATCAACCAACCACTGCTCATGAGTAAGGAAACTAGTGTTGGCCTTTGTTTTGAAGATAAAGATTTACTTCTACTAGCTACGAATAGAATCTTTTCAGTGTGGCCGCTCTGCTGAGCCATCGAACGCGACTGAAGTAAACGATGTCTTTATGGTCTAAACCGATATCAGACAGGAAAACCTGGAACTGCCTATGATTAAGTCCTCTTGCACTTATAAAATTAACTGTCCACACTACCTTACCCATCACGTGTTTTGCACACAGCTGTTCTTGATGAATTATATAGTGATGCAGTGATGCATGATTGGATGTGTGATGCTATTGTACATTAAAGCCACAAATCCATTTGTTCTCCTGTCATTGCAGGTGTCCCGTCTGTTGTTAAGCCGCAAAGATTTTCGAGTTGAAGTTCATATTTTTCTATACAACTCATTACTTCTCCTTAGAGATCTTCTTCAGTGGATGTATCTTCGGAAGTATTTTTGAATTTTGAATGAGAGTTGTAACTGGCTCGCGGGCCGGATAAAGGGCCTATTTGGGCCGGGTGGTGGCCCGGGGGCTGTATGTTGGACAGGCCTGCCTTAGGCCATTACGGTTTTAACCAAAAATCATCAAACCTGTGATGTTTGTGTACCATGGTTTATTATGTATCTCAAATATGATTGTTTAAGCGTTTCGATTTTATGTATTTTTATGATTGTCTATTTATATATTTTATCTCTATATATATTTAATCTCTATCCAAAGTTTTTAAAATGTTCCCACTAATCTAGTAACAGAAAGTAGCTACTTTTCTTATACTTTGAATCGCGACATATCTTTATTGTATTACCCCTTATACCTGTATACTTAACTCACATTGTATGGTTTATCTGAAGTCACTTAAAATAGCATAAAAACCTTTGGTCGGCGCGTCCTTTGTAATTTCATGACGTATCATAGGCGTGCGATTATTTATTTAGAACGATAATAATAATGTTTTTATATCACAATAAATGGATTTTACTATCTTCTTATTTTTTTGATTTGGGATAAAAAATACTTATATTGGGAGTTTAATTTATGTTGACTGAAAGTTAAGAAATGGAAAAATTACAGAATTCCAACGTTTGACATAGGCAAATATTTACATAGCAGGTAGGTATATAAAAAGGTATATAAAGACTTACATTATAGGTATTTATATATCATCCTCGCCTTCGGAACTGTCGCTAGAGTCATCTTATAAAGGAATTACAACCGGATTTACAGGAGGCAAAACACAATATTCATTTTCTTTTTCAATAATATGCCTAGAACACTGCTTCCATAGGTCTGTGGCAGCAATATGAGATACTGCATCTCTTATTGTGGCCAATAGCGATTCACTTAATTGAGGGGTCTGATTATGTTTTCTTACTTTTTTTTTAAAGCAGCCCTGACCAACTCAATCGGGTTAAAAATGCAGTAATAGGGAGGTAGACGTAATACTTCATGGCCATTTTGCTGAAGCAGATTGTCAACAACATACTCTTTTTCAAATTTTTGTCTTTTAATAAGATCCAATAATATGGCTTTGGTTGATTTTTGTGGTATTTCCATTCCCTTATCCTTCATAAAATCAATAATGTCTTGTTTTTTGTGCCTGTATTCGGAATTTTGTTTTTCTGTCGGGAATGGTATGGCGCATTGTCCATAATAATCACTGAATTTGGGGAAATGTTTGGTATTAACTGCTACTCTATCCACTTTTCAAATAAGTCGGAGGTCATGTCCTCATGATAGTCGGCACATGATTCTTTGATATTTTTGGCAGATAACAGCAAGGCATTAGGTATAAATCCATTTTCACTGCCAGCATGGAGAATAATGATTCGTTTTCCACGGTTGCATGGTGCATTTAAAATGCACTTGTTGCTGTCGTCAACCCAGCCGTACTGCACAACATCATGGGTATCATACCACGTTTCATCCAGGTAAATCAGATTTCTTTTCTGCTCTCTATAGATTTTAACTTTGTGCAAAAATTCTTGGCGCAATTCAACGATTCGAGACGACTCCATAATCACCATTCTTTTATCTAATTTTTTGTATTGAAAACCACACAGTTTTACAATACAGTGCAGTGAGTCTAAGCATTTGTAATTATAAAAATCTTCAGGATAATCTTTTAATTTATCATTTCCAACGTGGGCACCAAATTTTCTTTATAAAATCCGTATATTATACGACGAATATCTTCCTGAAAACCCACGTCTATTCTTTTTAATTTTTGCCCTATGCGCTTTCTGTGGAAGAAATTGTTGACTACATCTCCCCTTTTTATACCCGATAAATGGTAGGCCGACTGATTTTTGTCAGGATACAAATTCTGTTTAATCAGACAATCATACATATTTGGGATTACTCTTTGGGTCTGTTCCTCTAAATTTTTATGAAAGAATTCTGCCTGCGCAGGTTCATCAACCATCTCCTCGTGGCTTGGAGCATTTTCCCAAGGTCTCCAAAGAGGCATATTTACGACACACAAGAACAATCAACACAACAATTAAATCAACAAGTAAACTGAGTATTCAAAAGTCAAAAACACACAAACTAATAAAATCTATGAAAAAACACGGACAGACTAAAGAAAACACGTTTATTCCCCGCTACACGGCACTGGCTAAACTGTTTCAATTTTCAGTAGCCACCTGCACTTGTTCAGAGCTCTGAAATACACGCTTTCTCATTGGCTATGTCCACGCATGGGCGTGCTTTACTCCACGTGGACCGGTGAAACTGCCTTTGATCTTATCCGGGGGATATTTGCTGCGAAATTTGGCGATTTTTGCAGCAACAGAGCGTGTTAAATATAGATATATAAAACGCACCCGGTATTTCACAGTGTTTCAAGTGACTTCAGATAAAGTATACATCTGTCATTTTTCTATACGACAAACATAGCAAGGGTACGTTTTGGTATGCTTAGGGAAGTGTAATTGTGTGTACCTATGTATCAGGAATGAACTCCTGCATCATTCTTTAAATAATAAAAAGCATCAATAAAGTATTTGTCTATCTGCAGCCACCTATATGCTCATACAGACAGCGCCATCTACGAACCACTAACCTTTTCAAACCATATATAGTAAATAGAGAAACAGCTGCGACAATTTCTAGTAGATAACGCTACGGTATCTCATTTTATCTCAGATAATTTGTTGGACGCGGTAACATAGCATTAGTTTGGCTACCTTGAGGTAGGACACGTTGGTCAATGATAGTGGGGAATAGTCCCAGAAATCCCTTTTTCTGAAATCGACGGGAAATTTAATGGGGTGGTTCAAAAGTCCTGAAACATAACCGAAACTAAAATGATTCACTGAATTCTACAAAAAATGTTGATGTAGCGGATAACGAATATGATATCGATGTATAAAAAAATCAAAATGACGGAAATGTTGCAAGAAATGTATTGGTTGTGGTCAAATTCGAGTTTTCTATGTTTTATAGTACGCTGACAACGAATTTGAAATCGATGTTTTCGAAATCAAATTGTAGTATACAATATGGCGGTCTTATTTGCAAGAAAATTTTCGATTGCTCTCGAATTTGCGTTTTGCATGTTT